ATAAGCAGCATGGTACATATTGAAAAATCTTTACAGCACTCTGACCTCAACACTTGAAATGTGTCATTGACTTAATTGTGTTTCCATTTGTCGCCTATTGATTATATACACGTAGCATGCAATAACATCAGATGCATAACTTTAACCTCCACGTAAATCAGGTGAAATGGCACACTTACAATTACCGATGCACAGGAACAATGAGGAGCTTTGAAAGCACATTTTCCGAAGACGAGACTTTTAAATATTGCAACCCACCCCTGCCCCGATATATTATACAAAATAAAAATCATTACAAAGTAATTTTGGAGAATATAAATAACACAAATAGACAAGCAGACAATCTGTCTCCCACTGATTGGAATTATTGACATCTAGAAGGCCGTGTGGCTGATGGGTTGTGTAAGAAATATATTTTTTTACGCGAAGGGGACGTGCTGTCTGCTTATTTATTGCTACGTATGAAATTGATATTTTATTATTATTAACATGTGCTTGTTGCATTGTAACAATTTTCACGTACCAAGGAATTTCTGCCATATTTAAAATTGCATTAGACTATAGCCTGAATGCACACTAATAAAAGCTCCACTGCTGTTCTGTTCAACAGATGTCATTAAGCCAGGCTTAGGCCGAAGTCTAAGGCAGTCAGAGTTTGACAATATTTAATCCCGTGAAATTAAATGTTTACTCAGGGACGCCTTACTGAGCCTGAAATAATTTCCAACGGTACTGCTCAGCAATAATAATGATAATGACGCAGAGCCGAAACCCCTAGGCTATAATTATTTATCTCGGTCTGTGTATTATCCAGCCATCCACATTCTATACACCTATAACAATTAAGAGTAGCAATGTTCGGCCCTTTATAAAAGCCGTCCCATATCACGGTAGTCATAGGCCTTGTCCGATCATACTTCACCATGCCGGTCAGTGTGGGGTGTGGGTCAGTGAAGGGGCGTGCCCCTGATCTGGTTCAGATAATCGCCAGCCAATGTTGTTAGCCTTGGCTGGGAATTGAACTTGGATTGCTGTCTTCATATCCGTCAAATTCCTTTTTTAGGTATTTTACCATTGGGGTAACTGAACAGCCTGGAGACAACCCACAGGGCACGGGGAACTTTCACAAGATGCACATACGTAAGTGTGTCTGTTGACCTTCTTTCGCACTATATGTAGCCAAACGTGCCAATCAGAGGTGCGGGTCTGAAACCTACTGGCGAAAACTTCCCTTCACAGGCACCTCACATACAGGAATATGGGCGTCACAAGAGCAGACTTGGGACCTTACCAGAACTGGGAAATAAAGGATTCTCACATTTGCACGATCCACAAAACCCAACTTTCTTAGCAGCTGGGGTAAAGACATGCACCACCACGCAGAGTCGATTTGATCTAACAACGTGACCTGAGCCAGACAAATGGGGCACCACAGAGGTAAGATGTTAACTACCTCGCCTGGTATACAGGAGGTTGTGGGTTAGATCCCGACCACGACCCCGACGCCTATATATTTGGAGTCTCCATGTTCTCCTCATGGTCGCATCATTTCCTCCAGGTCCGCTGGTTTTTCCCTCCACATCTAGAATCATGCATTTAGAGTATTTGGTTGCTATAATTTTCCACATGATGAGCCACTTCGGTGAGCTATCATTTGGGTTGCTGGCTTCATTTGTGATAGCCAGATCGCCTCCGAAAAATTGCTACGTAGCTCAGTGGGCCTTACCTGGTCAAATAAAAAATAGCTTGTAGTTTAAATACTAAACATTCACCTGACAGATAAGTCCAAAGTGTCATCATCAGTGAGTCCATTTGGACCTCATAGGAAACTACTATAGTCTGTGATCCTTCAGTGGAGAAATAGAAAAACTACACAAACTCTTTTGATTTAAAGCTTCCGTGACTGCAGGGATTCATATTATTGGTTCTTTTGGTAAAGTCACGTAGAAGGGAAACAATAAAATAATAAAACCACAGCAAGAAAATTTTCTTGCTGTGGTTTTCACACCTGATGATGATTGCTTGTGTTGCAGTCGAAACGTCGTGAGAATTTTATTGTTTTATATTTTTATTATTTTATTGTTTCCCTCCTACGTGACTTTACCGAAAGAACCAAGAATACACAAACTCTCTCGCTCTCCTGAAGCCCTCTTGTGACTAGCAGACCTAAACAATGGCATTTAGCTCCTGCACATATTGCCATTTGCAATAACAGAACAGTCCATTCCCTGATTGGGGAGATCTGGTATGGCATTGTATCTTTTGCTGTATGCATGTGTAGTGTAACGACACATGTATACATGTGTAGTGTAACTACACAAGTATGTTGAACTCCTATCGCACCGTTAGGTAGCCAACCGTGCTGATCGGAGGTGCGGTGGGAAGGACAACAAATGTAACACAAAAAGCAGTTCTGAAGAAATTGACCATGAAAACAACGGCTAATTAACTCACAAAAGACATCAGGAATTTGATATTTTCCTAAGCAAAGCGACCCTTTGGCACTTCAGTGGAGAGCTTTGACGTGGCCTCCTCTCCCCTGAAATCAAATAAAACACTATTACACGTGTTCGTCAATCACAATGTCGACTTTAAAGAAGTAACATTTTTAATGGGTGATGTTTCGTCTCACGGGCATTTTTCATAGCACATATATATTTACGTGCTATAAACAAGAGCCAAGACATCATGACTTTTATATTTCCCTAAGCATAGCGACCCTTTGGCACTACACGTGCAGCACCATTCGCTTGATAATCGTAGCGCAGTGCAGTGGGCGCAAAAGCAAAGATTAACAGCAGAAGCATGTCTGTTTAGCGTTACACAGAACCTTGCTTCTCCCTCCCCCTCCAGAAGAGCAACAATCTTTCCTCGAATTGAGATCAGGGGGTAGGCACAGCGGTGACACTGGTGCCTCAAGGCAAGACGGGCCTGGGTTCGATTACCCGACTTACGACGTCTATCTACGTGGAATTTGTACGTCCTCCGTCCGTTCTGCGTGGGTTTCCACTGGGCTCTAGTTTCCTTCTCAAGCTGCAAAAAAAACTATACAATGTAACTGATGTTGGTCAAACATCCCAATGCTCAAAAAATCACCACAAAAATCTCTAAATTGGGATAACACATAAACTCACTGAGGTTTTTTGACACGGAGGCTATCGCGACCAATATTATTTATAATAAAGGTTTCTGTGGGTTAGATCGCACAAGTATAAATGTGTCATTAACCCGACACCACCTGACAGCCAATTAGTAAGGTTTGTCACGTGAACAAAATGTGCCAATTCGTTTCCAACTATATCCAGCATAATCGGGCGATTTTGTCTGATGATTCTGGATGTAATTACCAGCGAAATGGCGTACCGAAATTGTAAATGTTGTAGATGTACTCTTCAACACACAACCGGTGGGCTTAAGTAGTAACTAATTGGCACGTTTTGTTTACGTGGCAAACCTTAGTAATTGGCTGTGTCGAGTGGTGGTGGGTTAATGACACATTTATACTTTTATGAATCACTGATGCTTTTCTTGCTAAACAATAATAACAATAATAATAAAGTGCAATATATCCAAACTAAGAACACTTACTGATAAGCCGAAGAGTAGCAGGAAACATGCTCTTTACTCCCCTACATGGCTTAATGTTGAACTTTAGCTTCCAGTGATAACTACCAACACTGTACGTTATTCCCTCTGTCATTCACGAAGTTGCTATCCGCGATTTCGGCTATCCGCGAATCGCATCTGGAACTCTACATGGCTACTGCATCGACAGAGAAAGTAATGAGGGAAAGTGATGAGACCAAATGATGAGACAAAGTGATGAGAGATAAAGTGATGAGACAAAGTGATGAGAGATAAAGTGATGAGAGACAAAGTAATGACAGATAAAGTGATGAGATAATTGTATTTAATATCTTATGTACGTGTTAATTTGAAGCAAATATCATGATCCGCTAAATGTTCCATTCACGAGCATCTCTGGAACGTATCCCTCGTCGCAAATAATGAGGGAACGCCGTTCGTCACCAACGTGTCAGTGAGAAAACACAGCGGTGATTAAGAATGTGATTCGTCCAATGGCGGACTTCATGGACAATAACAAACATCTCCCGTGTCGCCTTAACAAACCGTTGGAGCAAGTGCTGTAAGCGAGCAACACCCTTGAAGGCCGGCACGACACACTAGGGGATGGGTGGCCAGCACCACGCCTGGCCGCCTTTGTCTCCCTAGTAGCAATGCTTTCACACCCCACCAGGTACTCATCTGGGCTGACTCGACCTAGGGGAAGCCCAGGACCGGTTCAGGTAATCGTCACTGGTGTCCATGGAGTACACAAATAGTGATAGCGCCGTTGTGGCCGGGGGTCATTCTAGTCGAGATCAGCACAAGTATAGAAAAAAAAATGGATGTCATGCAGCAGTTACGTGTGTTTTTAAATGCACACTAACTATCGCTACATGCATATCAATGCTATAACAAACCTAAAAGGTAAACTATTAATAATGTATACAGCCGATAGAGCTAATAACAAGGTCTAGTTACAAACCCTCCTTTCACCGTCATCGGCTCCAGTCGAGCTAATTTCAGATAAAATATGCAGCCCGTGAAAGTTTCTTGTGAAAAATAAAATAAAGTGGAATCTTTTTGTTAACATTTTTTCCCTAACTATTGCTATCAAAGCATTTGATGCTGAAACAAGACAGGCCAGGCTATGGAGCCTTTGTTGGAAATTCACGCAGATAAAGACTATTTATCTGCGTGAAAGACGGAGTGGCGAGCGTGCACGCGAACGTCCGTGTGTCCGCCGGTTGAAGGGAAGCATGGCCAAGGAAGCAGGGGGGGCGGGGGTGGCGGGGGCGGGCAGCAACAAGGAGCTTAGGCTGAGATGGGCAGGGGCAGGGCTGGGCCATGATGGGCAGGCGAGGGAAGCGAGCAGCCAGGCGGGGGGGGGGGGGGACGGGGGAGCGAGTCGCCCGCAGGCCAATCAAAACTCTCACCTGGAAATCTTGGTCGTCGATATCGAACCTCTCACGGAGGTTGCGGAACACCAGCGGGCAGTACTCCTTGAACTTGAAATGGCTCGGCATGTTCTCTCTGCCGGTGGGAAGAATGGAGGGGGGGGGAAGGGGACGAGAAGGGGGGCAACGAGGGAAGGAAGCAAGACACAATTTTGAAAGGCAAGCCCACAGAACTGTTTGAAAAAGGAGGAAATGTACGTATTTATTTAATTGTGGATTGTACGCGTAGGCCCTTCCATATCTGGTTATGGATTACAACTACAGTTGGGCCATCCGTTTATTATTCAAAGTAATCGAGCAACCCTGCCGACCGCCAGTTTGGTCACTCGACGAATCGGATGACACGACAACAATTGGGGGAAAGAAAAAAAAAACCTCACCTCTGTTTCCGTGCATGCTGCTGGACGGGGAGGTAGTGGGCTGAACTTGATGACATCACTGGTATTATCATCCACGTCACGCCGGGCGTGGCTTGCGGGGGGTTTCCCGCCTTCGAGCAGCAGGATGTGGAAGCTGCCCGCAATGTTTAAGATGCCCGAGTAATCGACCACAATAAAGTAGTCGATTACATTTTTTAGTCAAATCCACAAGAATGTGTGTTCACTATCATATTAACGAATTTAAGATTTTTTTTTTGAATATTAACAACTTGAGCACCTCCATGCTCAAACAAACATTGGAAGGTACTGGGAGTCTTCGCTTAACGTCGCTTCGTTCAACGTTGTTTCGTTGCACGGTCGCCAATACAATAGGGAATGTATTCCCTGATAACGTCTCGATGTTCGCTTTTACGTCATCGCTGCCTCGCGACGGGAACTACTTTAGATCTGAAGGTTTCGTGACTGCAGGGATCCATATTCTTTGGTTCTTTCGGCCAAGTCACGTGGTAGGTATAAAATAAAATAAATTAAATCACGACGTTTCGGGCACAACACAAGCGTCCGTCATCAGGTGGGACAACCACAGCAAGAAACAATTGCTGAAGTGGGCAAAAAGGGCTGCCGTGACAAGAGGCTATATAGGTAAGAGAGGGGGGAGGAGCCAGGGAGGAGAGACAGAGAGGGGGGTGTGGGGTAGGGGAAGTGGAGCGATGCAAGAGGAATGAGAAGACGAGCAAGGCTAAATGCCGGGGGGGGGGGAAGTGGGCGGGGCTGGGAGTGGGAGGCTGAAGAAACTGTAGAAGCCTCCCACTCCCAGCCCCGCCCACACCCCCCTCTCTATCTCTCCTCCCTTGCTCCTCCCCCCTCTCTCACCTATATAGCCTCTTGTCACGGCAGCCCTTTTGCCCACTTCAGCAATTGTTTCTTGCTGTGGTTGTCCCACCTGATGACGGACGCTTGTGTTGCGCCCGAAACGTCGCGATTTAATTTATTTTATTTTATACCTATGTGACTTTACCGAAAGAACCAAACAGTAGGGAACTATATTCTTAGTTTTTTCGGTAAAGTCACGTTGAAGAAAAACAACAAAATATATATAAAACAATAAAACATTTTTCACGACGTTTCGACCATAACTCAAACGGTCATCATCAGGTGTGTCGGTTTGCATAAATTTATTTTGAAAACGGCATATTTATTTATTTATATATATATAAAAATAACGTTTGCGTCACGCGCAACGATTGGCTGTTTGCCAGGACTAGTCCATCTATTTTTTGAAAAGAGGAGGGGGGAGACGAAATTTGTTTTTATGTATGCTGTCTGAAAGCCACTGTAAGCGTGAACAATCAATCAAGAACTGAAATGATTTATCAAATCTTTCCAATGATTGCTAAGATAGAATCCATCTTCTCGGTTGAAATTGTCTCTGTGTTTGTATATGTGGATAGCCTCATGAACGAATCTCTCATGGAAGCCAGATGGCTTACAAAGAACCTCCGTCTTGGAAAAGTCAATGGCATGTGAGCCTACTGAATTAGAACAATGATCTGCTACGGCCGAGGTGTTGGTCCTACCGTGTTTAAGGTCTGCTTTATGTTCACGAATGCGGTCCGAGATATGGCGTTTGGTTTCTCCAATGTAACTACTACCACAGAGGCAACTTAGTTTGTAGACACCAGGGTATTGTATGTCCGGAATCACATCTTTTACAGACGGAACCAGATCACGGATTTTATGTAATGTGTTGAAACGGACCTGGATCTTGTGTTTATTCAAGATTTTGGAGATCTTTTTTGTGATCCCAGCAATGTAGGGTAAAGTGATGGTTTTGAAAGGCTCCTCAAGAGGGTTCTTCTTCATGGTTTGAGTGATAGCTTTGCGGATTGTATAGTCGGAGTAACCATTAGCCCTAAGAGCTTGGTGTACGTGCTTGAGTTCACTGCTTATGTGTTCCTGGTCGGATATGCATTGGGCTCTATGATACAGAGTCTTGATGAGAGAATTCTTCTGTGATGGATGGTGGTGGGAATCCGGTTTCAGATAAGCATCCGTATGGGTAGCTTTCCTGTAGACAGAGTGGCTCATTGAACCATCAGGTCTCTTTTTAATTAGGACATCCAAAAAAGGTATCTTGCCATCTATTTCGACTTCCATGGTAAATCTGATGGCTGGGTGTATGGAATTGATGTGGTCGAAGAATTGGTCTAAAGCAGGCCGGCCATGTGGCCAGATGACAAAAGTGTCATCCACGTACCTCTTCCATAAGGTTGGGCGCAGAGTGGCAGTCTGGATGGCGTCAGTCTCAAATTTCTCCATGAAAATGTTAGCTATAACTGGAGAAAGGGGGGAGCCCATTGGGGTGCCCTCAGTTTGTTTGTAGAAAGTTCCATTCCAAGTGAAGTATGTATTGGTTAAACAGTGTCTCACCAGGGGGGGTACCTCAGTGTTTAGTCCTTGATGAACCAAGTCTTCAATGATTGCAATGGTGTCAGGTACAGGAACCTTGGTGAATAAGGAAACTACATCAAAACTGACACAGAGACAATTTCAACCGAGAAGATGGATTAGCAATCATTGGAAAGATTTGATAAATCATTTCAGTTCTTGATTGATTGTTCACGCTTACAGTGGCTTTCAGACAGCATACATAAAAACAAATTTCGTCTCCCCCCTCCTCTTTTCAAAAAATAGATGGACTAGTCCTGGCAAACAGCCAATCGTTGCGCGTGACGCAAACGTTATTTTTATATATATATATATATAAATAAATAAATATGCCGTTTTCAAAATAAATTTATGCAAACCGACACACCTGATGATGACCGTTTGAGTTATGGTCGAAACGTCGTGAAAATTTTTATTGTTTTATATATATTTTGTTATTTTGTTGTTTCTCTTCAACGTGACTTTACCGAAAAAACTAAGAATATGAATTACTGCAGTCACGAAAGCTTTAAATCAAAATTTAATCGCCTCTACGGGGAGGGTTTTCACATAACTTTAAGATCTTTCAACAAACTCCGGGATAAGAAAGCTCAGCTGATCGAGTCTCTCACCTTCCTGAAGAGATGCCGCGACTCTGGGGTAATACCAATCGCATTTACACTCACCTCTGCTACTGTAACTTCTTCTAATGCGAAACGAATTCTTTTCAAAACTAGCTTAGCTCTTATCTCAGAAAAAATCAGACTTATACGCACAGAACTAGATCAGTTAGACAAGACACTCTACAAATCACACTTATCATTGACGGCAATAATGTCCACATCGGATTGGGAACATGTAGACAATATGACTGCCTCTTCAGCTGCTACTATGTCGACCAAATGTAAGGAAAACCTGATTTCCAAATTTAACCTCCTATTCAACAAAAGACCGGACCCACACACCAAAAAGTTAGACGTTAATAAAGTCGTAATTAATCGCAGTAACAGTTCTATTTCCGATGGTCTGAAATCCGTTTTAGCTAAAGGTCTAAACTTTGCAGTCACACCTAAACACATACCAGTTAATGATATAATTGCCCAAGTAGACGTTGCTCTCAGGGGCCTGGGTCACATCGCTGCAGACGTAGCAAGATCTGAAATCGCTGCAACCCTCAAAAACGCTAAGATGCCAGCTAGCAACCTCGGCAAAAATGAGCGTTTTGAATTATATAAATTAAAAAAGAGGAATGATATTGTAGTTCTCTCAGCTGACAAAGGCAATGCTACTGTTATCATGGATAAAATAGAATACAACAACAAAATTAAAGAATTACTCGACGATGGTAGTTATACAAAAATAAAAAGAGATCCCACCAACAGCCTCGTCACACAAACCAACAAAATAATTTCTGATTCAACCGCATTAATTGATCAATCTAAACAGTTTTCATTGAAACCTTCTGCTGCCAGGCCACCAAGATTATACGGCTTACCAAAAATACATAAAGTTGATACACCTCTTCGTCCCATAGTCTCTACTATCAGCTCCCCCACCTACAAACTAGCTCGTTTTTTGTCTGAAATCCTGCGTCCTTTCACTGGAAAGACCACCTCTGCGGTACAAAATTCTACTCACCTGGTATCAACAATCAAGGGTATTTCCCTGTCCCCAGACGACCTGCTTGTCAGTTTTGATGTAGTTTCCTTATTCACCAAGGTTCCTGTACCTGACACCATTGCAATCATTGAAGACTTGGTTCATCAAGGACTAAACACTGAGGTACCCCCCCTTGTGAGACACTGTTTAACCAATACATACTTCACTTGGAATGGAACTTTCTACAAACAAACTGAGGGCACCCCAATGGGCTCCCCCCTTTCTCCAGTTATAGCTAACATTTTCATGGAGAAATTTGAGACTGACGCCATCCAGACTGCCACTCTGCGCCCAACCTTATGGAAGAGGTACGTGGATGACACTTTTGTCATCTGGCCACATGGCCGGCCTGCTCTAGACCAATTCTTCGACCACATCAATTCCATACACCCAGCCATCAGATTTACCATGGAAGTCGAAATAGATGGCAAGATACCTTTTTTGGATGTCCTAATTAAAAAGAGACCTGATGGTTCAATGAGCCACTCTGTCTACAGGAAAGCTACCCATACGGATGCTTATCTGAAACCGGATTCCCACCACCATCCATCACAGAAGAATTCTCTCATCAAGACTCTGTATCATAGAGCCCAATGCATATCCGACCAGG